CGCCTCATCTGTCTGTGAGCGCCCGGTAGACATAAATATGCGGTGACATCAATATGTGGTGTGACCGAACCCTCATGGCGTGTTGCCCGCCAGTCGTATGCGTACTTCCTCCGAATCAAGCCGATTCGCCGTGCGGCGTTTACTGCCGGACTCAGGGACTGATGCCCAGCTCCGCATTTCTAATGCGCACCCTGGCCTCTCTCACCAAAGCCTTGGCCTCCTCAACCTCGAAGCCATCTTGTGTCAATTCAGTCCCCAGTCGATTGGCCGTCTTGTAGTCCGCCGTTCGCATGGCGTGCTTCGCGAGCCACATTCGCGCTTTGCTCGTCGATGCCGTGACACCAGTTCCCTCATTCCCGCCCTCTTTGCGGCCATCACCATTACCTTCGTCGTCAGATGCGCCTGGTGAGTCATTGTGGATGGCGATCGATTCGTTTAAGACATTGTCCGCGGCTTCTCCGCCCTCTTGAGCGAGACAAAGTTCCATGTAGGCTTTTGATTCCTCTTCTTCGCCGAGCTGGTCGTACATGCTTGCAATCTGGAAAAGCAGCTCCGGATCCAGGTGACCCGTCGCGCCTCGGCCGTTGAGCAAGTCCCCTCCGCTTCCGAAGCTGCTTCCAACGTCGTAATATGCGTCTGCTAGCAAAGCTCTCTTTAGCGCCTTGATACCATCCTGATCGCGGCCCATCTTTTGCAGACACGATCCGACGGCAAGCCACATCTTTCCATCCCAGGGCCTCAGCCCGGCTGCCTTTTTGTAATACCATAGACTGTAGGTGTGCATTTCCAACATTTCGTACGTCTGGCCAAGGCCGTACCAAGCTCGGTAGTCCCGGCGATTGACATCAACGGCGCGTCGATACGATTCTATTGCGGCGTGGGTATTTTTCAGCTCCACGTACTCATGGCCCATGAGTGTCCATGCTGACAAGCATGTTCGGTCGAGGGTCAGCGCTCGGCGGAAGTATTGCACTGCCTTTTCGTGCATGGATAACAGTGAGTAGTAGTTGCCCACCACTACACAAGACTCTGGCCGGAACTTGTCGATGCTCGAGCAGAGGTGCGCAAGGAACGCAAGTTTTGGCCTCAGATTCATGACATAGAGAATGTTGGAGTAGTGATCTAGTGACTCTAGTCGGTGGGGGTGGAGCGACAGCAATCGACTAAAATGTTGTTCAGCAGCAACGAGGTCTTTCGAATGATATGACAGCATGGCGTTGCATGTGAGAAGGAAGGACGAGTTTGGGAAAATTCCGAGTAGTGAATCCAACGAGTTGGCGAGCTCGGGTGTAGCCTGGTAGAGCTCGAGCGAGGTGTAGAGATGCCAGATGAAGGACAAGATGTTTTGCGGGAGGTGCTCGGCAATCCGACTCAACTGTGCGCTCGTCAGCGTTGTCTGGCCCCTGGGGCATATGAACCGAGCCAAAGACTTACATCGTCTATCCGGGAGATGAGTTGGGTCATTTCCAGCCAGCAGCCCCAGTTCATAGGGTATAAGTGGACGCTTCGCACAAAGTAGTCCATCGCCTTGTCCTCGTTCTTCTCCTTTGCGAGAACCATGCCGTATCTTATCCACGGTAAGCAGCTGTACGCGAAGAGATGAGAGGAAAGAAAGATATGCCGCCTACTCACAGGTACTCAAGCCACCCCTGGCTGCCGAGGATATCCCCATCGTCCGTCGTCCGCTCGTCGAACCAGTCGCTGAGGAACCGGCTTACGGCATTCAATTGCTTATTGACGATGTTGCCCAGGTCTTGGGGTCCCATGACCATCTCCGAATCCTCGTCTTTGCGCTTCTCCCCAGACATGAACTTTGCGTACAGGGCGAGGAACAAGCTCTTCTGACTGAGCCGGGGCAGCTCGGTGCTGCTGCCGCCGGCTGCCCTCGTCGTCTCGGCGTCCCCTCTCGTCTTTGACTTTGACTTCCCCTTGGACGCCCCCGATGGTCCATCCGCGTTGGAGCTCAGAACACCGGACAGCACAGAATCGGGCAGGAAGACGGCGGCGCAGCGGTCAAACTCCCTTGAGTCGAAAAGGGTCTTGGCGAGGAGGTATTTGTTGATCTCTTTGGCTTCGAGGAGGGCTTCCTCGGGGTCGGCGTTCACGGTGAAGACCGTCGGGATGTACTGTGCATCAGTATCGGCGGGGTCGGCATGGTTCGAAGGCTCGGGTATGGCGTTGAGAAGCTCTGCGGCCCTGGGATCGAGGTCAGCCGTGAGGTCTCTCTCTCGGGAAGGGTCCTTGAGGGAGCTTGCCATTTCGCAGAGGAGTACAGGCACCGCTCGGAGCACTTGACGACGGCATCCTGCAGAGACTCGCGGAGCTGCGACAGCTCATTCTCGTTGAGTGACATCTCTGCGCATCCTCGGCCAGAGGGCCAATAGCTGGGTCGTCTTGTCGTCGCACGGGTTCCAATTCGTATGGAAGTGAATCGAAGCAACGTCCAATTGAGCGCCTTTAGCTAAGGTACAGAACAATGGCTTCTAGAATTCACTGTCTACAGCTTTAAGGCGTAAAGTGAGGGCTGCGAGACGAGATACAGAGATGCAGGGTTGCTGGAGTTGGCGATGCGAGTGTTGTGTTTCCTTGTCCTGACGTAGTAAAGCTTAACGGCAGAAAAGGAAGCGGTCCACCCAAGGATTCCCACCACGCGACGGGCGCGACGACGCTAAAGTGACCTACGGTATACCTGACCGCCACGGTGAGCAACGCAGCGAGGGGAACCAATCCAATAAACTTTGGCAGGCGTAGGTAATTGAGGACCCCGCCATGGTCTTTGGGCGGAAGTCAATTGGATGTTGTGGGTGGCCTGTCATCCCGAGACCCCACTTATCCCGGCGACATCAGGGACCGTCTAGGAAATCGCCCCCTCCACCGCCTGCCAAAATAGCAACTGAAGATCGGATGAGGGGTACACTTTCTTTCTCATCTTGTACGAGTTGGCTCTAAGGTAATTTGACGCGGGCGCATTAATTTCGGATTGCTATCGCAAACCTGCCTAGTAAGTAAATTTCCCAACCATCCTCTCTTGTCTCCCTCTTCCTCCCTCTCGCGCTGCCATTGTTCGTCCACCTTTGTCTCCTTGCTTCTTCCTTTCCCTCTCTCCCCTCTTCCCCACGATACCTCTACTTCGTTTTCGCTCTCCTCACTAACTTTGAACGCCTCTAAAGACCGTTGCAACCGCCTTACCCCCAATCCAATCCAGCCACCCCGCCGAGCCGGCCTCAAACCACACCGCAAATTTCAGAACAAGATGGCCAAGAAGACTACCCTCACCGAGTTCGAGTCGGTCTTCCCCAAGCTCGAGGAGGTCCTCCTCGAGCACGCGCAAAAATATAAGCTTCCCAAGGAGGAGCTGGCGTGGTACAAGAAGGCAAGCATTTTGCTACACCGTCCCCGACAATCCCAGAGTCACTACCGTTACCGCGACCACCTCGACTCAATCTGAGGCTGTGTGTGAGCGCATGTGGCAGTGGATCTCCCGAAAACGGAGGCAACTACCAATTCAAAAAGAACATCAAAAGATTAACAGCTTTCTTTTTGCGCCAAACAGAGTCTCGAAATCAACACCCTCGGCGGAAAATGCAACCGTGGCATGTCGGTCCCCGACTCCGTCTCTCTCCTCCTCGACAAGCCCCTCTCCGAGGAAGAGTACTTCCAAGCCGCCACCCTCGGCTGGATGACGGAGCTCCTCCAGGCCTTCTTCCTCGTCTCGGACGACATCATGGACAGCTCCATCACCCGCCGCGGCAAGCCCTGCTGGTACCGCCACGAAGGGGTCGGCATGGTCGCCATCAACGACGCCTTCATGCTCGAGGCCGCAATTTACACCCTCCTCAAGAAGTTCTTCCGCGAGCACGCCTCCTACGTCGACCTCCTCGAGCTCTTCCACGAAGTCACCTTCCAGACCGAGCTCGGCCAGCTCTGCGACCTCCTCACCGCCCCCGAAGAGAAAGTTAACCTCGACAACTTCTCCATGGAAAAGTATCGCTTCATCGTCGTCTACAAGACGGCCTACTACTCCTTCTACCTCCCCGTCGCCCTCGCCCTCCACTGCCTCAACATCGCCACCCCAAAGAACCTCAAGCAGGCCGAGGACATCCTCATCCCCCTCGGCGAGTACTTCCAGATCCAGGACGACTACCTCGACAATTTCGGTCTGCCCGAGCACATTGGCAAGATCGGCACCGACATCATGGACAACAAGTGCAGCTGGCTCGTAAACCAGGCCCTCGCCATCGCCACCCCCGAGCAGCGCAAGATCCTCGAGGACAACTACGGCCAAAAGGACAAGGCCAAGGAGGCCGTCATCAAGAAGCTCTTTGACGACATGGAACTCAAGCGCCGCTTCGAGGAGTTCGAGGAGAAGCGCGCCGGCGAGATCAAGGACATGATTAACAACATTGACGAGAGCGAGGGCCTCAAGAAGGGCATCTTTGAAATCTTCTTGGCTAAGATCTACAAGCGCTCCAAATAAACACTTCCCAAACCAGGAAGTATAGTTACTAATCCAGATGGGGCGCGTGTTTGTGTTTGGCGGGCATCATGGATTTCTGCATGTGGCACAAATGGAGCCGAGAAAAAAAACCAATTAGAGAAAGAGGATAGATACCAGAGTCCAATTGATTGACGATGATGACACCAACTCAAACAATAGGACTATTAGAAAGTATGAAGGAAAAAAAGTTTCCGTATTAGGAGATAACAAAGGAAAAATGATACTGACTAAAAGACAGCCTAGTCCGGTAAATAAGATGACTAGACAAAACGAAATATGACGTCTTTTTTGGGTTCCCTCTCCAAAAGCTTTTTGTTGCAAACCGACATGCTAGTCGCGTCAACATCCGGGTATCTTACATGTTAAATGACATCTCCCTATGCGCCTAAATCGCGTTCACTGCAAGATCCGCTTCCCACTTGTTCTTCTTTCTCTTGGTCTTACAATGTTGGTGGCCCCTTTGAATCTTCAGCGGACCGCCGCCATCCGCTTTCGTCATTCCTCAGTGCCTGACGGTACCACTCCGCCCGAGACCTTGCGACATGCCCTGCGACATGCGAGGCCTCGTATCACGACCCCTCTCGCGTTCCACAAAGTTGATGAGCGGAACGTCCTCGTCGTCTCTTCTTGACGATCGTCTCGGCATGGAGGGCATTGGAGGCTGCTGCTCGTTGGAAACCACGCGACGTACGGCACCGCCGCCTGCTGTGGACCGACTCCTCGGTCTCGAAGCAGCCGACTGCGACGCCATGCGCTGGGGAGGGTACGCCTTTGCCGTGCCCATGCGTGTGACGGTTGGCAGCTGCGGTCCCAGGTGCCCGTCTGGTAGTTCCAGGCCCGTCGCCATCTCGATCAGGGGCTTTCCGGTAGGAACACGCACACCACGACCTTGGCCGTCTCGCCAGGCTGAGGGTAAATCGGGCACCTTGGGCGTGAGGTCGACAAGAGGTTGCGGCATCTCTCGTTTTCCTGAAGATGACCCGCCATCTGATGTCTTGGGACGCGATGAGGTGGTCGGACGTGCGGCAGGAGGCCGTGATCGACTCCGCGGCTGAGGCATGGGGTCTGTCGCCGTGGGACGAGACGAACGCACCGTGCCTCGTCTCTGCGGCATCCCGTTGTTTTCGTGTTCTGGAAACTGACCTAGTAGCGAGTGCCCCCCGGTAAATGGACTCTCGACTGCGTATTGTTGATGGTCTGCAGTGAGAGCAGCCTTCTCTGCTTGCTGCTTGCGCCCCTCGTAAGCTTGGCCCAACAGACCGCCGGATTTGAACTCGTCCTTGGCAAAGGGATCGATGAGCCTCCTTGTGTGAGGCTGCGACAGGTTCGGCGTTGTCCTGGATCGAGAGACAACCTTTTGGGACTGGGTATGTCTGGGTGTAGGATGATGGTCTGCGTGTCGGGCCGTCGGCTTATTATCCAATTCCTTCCCAAAATCGTCAATCGGTTTCTCGAAACTGTTCATGTCCAAGAGCGGTGAGAAAGTTCCAATGGTGTATGGCGTCTCGTCGGCGGATGCCCGGGGCCGGTGCAAGGTGCCGCTTCGTGTAAGACTACCACCGCCCGTTTTCGTTCCGCTTCTCGCACTGCTGCCGTGTGAAGATGATTTCTTCTTGTTCAGATCGACAATCTTGTTTGCAATGTACCAACTACGCCACCCTTGGATGACTTTTTGGAAATCTTCCGCGAGCCTGGCATCATCCGTGGCGAAGAAGTGGATGAAGTTTTCCGTATTTTGGAAGACTGTTGATTTCTGTTGACTCTTGACCGCAAAGCAATTCTTCTTTGGAGCTCTGATCTGCTTCAACATGTCCTTTTCGGTGACTGTATACAGGTCAAAATCGGATAGATGGCAGAGCGAGACGGCATCTTTGTCCGAAAGTTTGGCATCCTTCTTTTTGGCCGAAAACATTTGCCCAGTCTCCAAGAGCGTGAGGTAGCGTTTGTTCCATTTACCGGGCCGCTGAGAGTGGTATAGCGCGAAGTTGATCAGACCTGGGGGCGGATCGATAGTGCGGGGCACACCTTCGAGGTTTAGGTCGGGATTCTTGTCCGTGGATTCACCCGGTACGATGAGTAGACAGTGCTGCGTATCGCGGTCCCAAGAGTTCATCACAAGAGCCACAGGCTCATAGCGTCTCAGGCGACGCTCCAGGCCAAAAGCAAAGTAGCACTCGAGCACGACACTGGTTTGCGGGTTGATGTTGTGGGTCATGAGGTTGGCGGCCGAGTATAGAATTTCACTCGGGGTAGTATCGGGGGTGACGGGAAGACTGATTGACGACTGCATGCAGCGTATCGTCACTCGCTATGAGAAGAGCATTAGCAAAAAGATGAAGATCAAGGTCATGCATGGCCAGAGTGCGGGAAGGACTAACTCGTTCTCCAGCATTGCTAGCAGAGGTTGGGGCATCTGTCTGGGGGACAATGCCGCCGCCACCGGCTTGTATAAAGCGGGAGGGATCCATGACACTGACGGGCCTGTGATCGAGGGTGAGGGGTTGAAAATATTGAGAGGGAGGTTTTGTGAGAGTATTCGCAGGTTCGGTCTTGCGACCCTTTCTCAAGAAGAAGGTGAACTTGTCGACAATGGGGCTCCGGACACGGGAGGCTGGTGCGTCAGGTACGGCGGCCAATTGAGCCTGGAGTCTTGCGAGGTCCTTTGCCTTTTGGTCTGCCAAGATGCGATCGGTCTCTGCTTCAAGACGAGCAACCTCTTCGGCCCAGCGAGCAGTGTCCTCCTCTTCCTGTTCCTTGCGACGTCGGTGCTCTTCTTCTTCCTGGGCGAGCAATTGCTGGTGTTGTTGGTGGCGCCGGCGCTGTCGATCTTCCTCTTGACGGGCAACTTGCTGGTCCCAGTGGGGGTTATTGCTGCGGATGAGGTCCTCCTTGTTGGTATTGGTGTAGTCGTGATTGTTATGGGACTCGGGTTGGAGAGCGAGCTTGGTGATGATTTGAGAGCGAGCGTGTTCAGCCCTGGCAGCGAGCTTCAGGTCGGCGCATGACGAGTGGGAAGAAACCAAGATTGGATTGTGCGAACGAGGGCGCAGATGGGGACCGGGAGGCGGGACGAGGTCGCGTGCTCGGGTATGATGTGCTTGGGCTTGGGCTTTGGCTTGGCCTTGTGCCGGGTAGGGCAACGGAAGTAGTCCCAGTCCTAATCCAGGAGGAGATGGTTGTGTTGGATGTGAAAGTGAGTGTTGTGGTGGAGGTGGAGGAGGAGGAGGAGGGTGATGCGGTACTGGCGGCGGTGGTGTAATTGGTTCAAGTGGTGCCGTTCCTTGGGATCCTTCTCCTGGCGCTGGCGCAGATGCAGGCGCAAGTGCAAATGCGCGGACGACTGGGACTGCTGGGACTGTGGCACTGGGTAGTCGTGGTGGTGTAGGAGGTACTGTCGTCAGCGATGTTGGTGGTTGTGGTACAAGCCCGAGGAGGTTCGGTTTCGGTGCCGCAGACCAAGAAGCAGGAGACGCAGACGCAGACGCAGACGCAGACGCAGACGCAGACGCATCAGCAGCTGACGCTGATGCTGGTGGTAATAACGCTGATCCTGCAGACGGGGCCGGAGGACAGGGGCCCAGGGCGTACAAAGGGGCGGCCTGAGTGGAGGAAACCCCTGGAACCCCTGGGGCTGGGGACGTGGACCCGGAATAGGATGGCGCTAGGGAGAATAGGGAACCCGGTTCGCTTGGGGGTCTGGGGCCATAAGGGCCGCATGCGTCTGTTGTTGCACCAGTAATAACACCACTGGCACGACCGCCGCCTGCAGGAGGAGAGGACCTGGTATCCGTAGTCGTCGTAGTAGGGGACTTTGGAGACAGAGAAGGCGGCGAAGAAGAAAAAAAAGGAGGAGACGAGCTTCCATGCAAGGGGCTCCAGCTGTCGTCGAGATCCGCCTTGGGGGCCGTCTTGGTTGGTCGCCGTCGATTGGGGTAGCTGAACCGCACGGGGGATTCGGGAGGGGCTGGGACCACCATTCTTTTTCCACCGCCAACCGCACCATCTCCAACACCAGTACTGCCAATATCAGTGCCAATTCCACCACCCCCACGACAATAATAACTCGCACTACGCCCTCCTCCTTGGCCTTCTCCTTCTCCCGTTGTTGCACAACGACCACCACTGATCGGAGAATTCTCGAAATCAAACGGAGACGAGGCGTCGCTGATGCCGGTACCGGCCATGAGATCGGGCCATTGCCATTGCATCGTCAACTGTGGTGCTCCCGACGGTGTCTGCGGCACCGGCGTCGACAGCAACGGCGCCGTGCGCCTTCTCCTTAACGATGAAGCTGGGGTTTGCTGCTGCTGCTGCTGCTGCTGCTGATACTGATCATGACGATACGGCGACGAGACCGATGCCTGACCATCATCAACACCACCAACAGCTCCCTCCTCTTCATCCACAGCAATTCCAATGCCTAGACCCAGTGCAATGCTCGTCGCGGTTCCCGTCTCTGTTGTTGCATTGGATGTCGTCTCGTCGTCCTGGAAAATATCCACCTCCCAGTCCCGCCAGTTGCGTCCAAAGTCCAGCACACTCTTGTGCTCCCGCACGCTCCTGTACCGCGTGAGCCTCCCGGCGGTGACGCTCTGGCCTCGTCGGGGTGGATGCGGCGCAGGTGATTTCGGTGGCCCTGGGCCTGCCGACATGGTGCGATTAATACGCGGAAACCCTTCCATTGTGGGTGTGGGTGGGTGTGGATGCGCGATTTGTGTGTCAAGTGATTGTGTTATTTCGTTTCCAGAGTTCGTTTCCCCTTCTCTTCCTCGGCAGTGTCGCCTTCGTCGTCGTCGCTATCCTGTCCCTTAAACCGTTCGCCCGATGCGATACGATGCGATGCGATGGTAGACAGGGTCTTGAAATCAGAACCCCGGATTTTCTCGTCCGATGGCGTCGATGGTAGCGGCAACGGCGTCGTGCGGCTGCGGCCCAGTCCGCTGGAACCTTGGAACCCCCGAGCTGATCGCCCCCAGCCCAGCAGGGAACACTTGAACGTTATCTTGCAGCCTTTGCCCTTATTTCCCCTTTCCTCTGACTGCTGCTGCGGTGCTGCCCCAGGACCCTGCAGATCTCTCTGCAGGTGATAGATAACGAAGGGTGAGATTGATAGGGCTGGTGGCCCGTCCCGACAAAACTTGTTTTTTTGTTTGTTTTTTTCGGTCTCCTCGGTTCCCGGATAGGGAAATCTTTGACGGGGTTCGCGAAAAAGGTAAAAGTAAAAATAAGATGTGAGTTAATATTGATTAGATTAGATGGCTACAATAGTAGCACTTTGTGAGTTGAAGCAATAAGCAAAGAAAGTTGACGATGATGAAGGAAAGTTAGCCGTCGTGTCGTACAAGGAAAACGATGGACATTGATGCAGGCAGCAGGCAGTAGGCAGGCAGAACTAGGAGCAAAGAGCGAAGGAGGAAAGAAGGAAGGGGGAAAAAAGAAAATGTGGCAAGACCTCTCCTTCCCATAAGTCGGGGTCCTACAGGATGGAAGGCAAGGGAGACTTTTTACATCTCTCCTGGCAATCGCCTCATCCTTTCTCTATTCACCTTAGATATCTCACCTCACCTGTTCACAATTCAGCAGATCACGCGTCAGCTGATGAAGGGGGTCCATGTATCTCCAGAGGCATGCAAAGCACACTGAGAGCGCGACATCGCACGTCCTTTGCCGCATGCCAGTCGTGCTTAATCCAATTTGCACCCCATAGAATATGGGTTATGGTTCAGGAACGAGCAAACACTGCATTCCTGACCAGACCCCGAATCCCTCTTGACGTGTCAGTGTTTACACTTTCTCTTATATGATTGACGCGACCTCGGCCTGGGCAGAATCCTCTGTGAGCGGTGAGCCCGTGTCAGCAGGATTGTAATTTCAGCGAGATGCAAATTTCGTGGTTTATGAGATTGCTTCACGTTGTTTGTCATATTGCGCATGATGCCCTGGAAGCGGCCGTGATGAACTGACAGGATTCCGTCGCCCTTTGAGGCATCTTGCCCGTCCGATTCAAGTTCATACACTCCATCGTGTCTCTACCTCTTTTAATCCTCTTCGTGTCCGGAACCACTCAACATACGCATGAAGGCGAGCTGTAAGTGGAATTCACCTCCTCCAATCTCAATGGGCAAAAGGTACTAAGATACGTGGAATCTCCGACTGGTAGGAACGAATACACCCCCAATTTCAAATGCGGTTCTGATTGGACTGGAGCTTCCAAATCCTGGTTCTATAGGCAATCATATTTTATAGTCTTTTTCCTTGTTACTTTTTTCTTTCGCATTTTGTGACTACTGCTGGATGTGTCCGCACGAGACAAGTCAAATAACTTAGACCCAGATGTGTCACTTGTTCATGTCTTTGCTTATGCATTGAATCATTGTGATTCAGCACCATGTAAGAATCCCGTAGAAAAACGAGGAGAGACGGGCACATCATATCGGCAACCAGAGAGGCCCTCGTCCCGTGAACCCCCCGCCTTACAAGCCACGTCCCCGCCTTTCCCTCGCTATAAATCTAGTCAGATCAGAATCTGTGCATCGAGATTGTACAAATATACACATATATCCCGGTGAGACACGATGAAGCCAGATTCAGTGCCGGAAAGCATGTACCTCGCGCCTCCACCATCCGACAAAGTCACTTGTCGACACATCAATACCTAGGTCCTTGAGAGCCCGCGTGCTGAGATGACAATCGTACGGCCTCTGCACACTCGCGTTGGGATCGTTGCCCTCCGTGTTGGCAATGATACCGTCCATGGAGAGGTCCATAATGTCTGCAAACTTTTGGCAAATCTCGTACTTTGTCATCTTGTCCTCGCTAGAGAACTGCAGGATCCTGGGGAACGAGCTACGATCTTCGGCCCCCAGGTACTTGTCGGCGATATCTGTAGTCCTGTTAGCCGTCATACGACCTTTTAACCCTCAACGAAGCTTGCACTTACCGTGACACACGCGCCCGATATCCTCTGTGTTGGTCGGGTACCGAATCGCCCAGTGATCCATCTTCACCTTGGCGCCACCGTCCTGCGTCTTCCACAACGTGTCCATGAGCACGTTGGTCGCGCTCTCCGCCGGCGTATCCGCCTTGCCGTACAGCACGGGCACGCGGAGGACGAGGCCCAGCCCCGCGCGGCCGGCAGCCTCGTACTCGTCCAGCATGGCGCGCTCGCCGTCCAGCTTGGTCTGGCCGTAGAGGTTCGTCGGTCCCGTCTCCGCGTCAGCCTCGTAGGGGGCGTCTCCTTGCTTTCCCGAGAAGACGTAGTCGGTCGAGATGTAGATGAGCAGGGTCGAGCGGGCGGCGCAGAGCTTGGCGAGGGACCGCGTGGCCTCGACGTTGAGGGCGCGGGCGGCGTCCGGGTCGCTGTCTACCTTGTCTGGAAACCTCTGAGCGGCGCCTGTTTATAAGTGCTGTGTGAGTTTGTGCTGAAATTTTGTTTGTCTTATGAAGAGGGCGTTGGTGTACATACAGTGCACGACTACCTGAGGCCTACCATGATAGTCAGTAAGGTATGGTCTAGGCTATGAGCATGAAGGTAGCCTTACTTGGATTCATCGAGAAACTTTTCGACGTCAGAGGTCTTGCCGAGGTCGACTTTGAAGACGGATACGCCATCGGCGCGAGAGTATCCCGTACCCTTGACGTCCCAACTCTTCATGTCAAACGCCCGCGCGACCTGTCTTCCGAGGAGGCCAGTGGCTCCGGTCACGACCACATCTTTACCCGCCATATCGTTGAACTGCAAGTGAGTCTTAGTGTAGTAGATTGATGTCTAAAATCAAATAGAGAGCTTCCTCGGTTTCTGGCCGGTTTCCGCTCAGTGTAGGCGTATAGTAAACGTGTCGAACAAAATATCATTCAATTACATGGAAAGCTCTGGTATCGTCGACTACCCCGCGGTGGGGTTCGCGACCCGACCGTTGCGGGAGACTCAATTGGGCCAACTCGCATAATTACATCATCCTCATCTAATGCATACCTAAGGTAAGGTATTCCACCTAAGGCTTGCTCCTGACTTCATCACGGCTTTCATCCAACTTTCTTTTCAACTTCAGATGAACAAGTCCGCCAAAGCCTCAGTCCAGGCAGAACGGATGATTCCGAAGAGCTTGCAAAGATGGGACCAATGGGGGGTCCAGCCCGTGAACCTTGACGTTCCAAAAGAAGGCTCGCCTCTACTCCTGGAATCGTTCCCAATTTGAATGATCGACTGACAGGTATGCGGCTGCGCGACGCCTCGTGCCGAGAGCCTCGGCGGCAGGCAAGAGGGAACGAACGCCTCGCACCTTTAGGCCGTACTATCGCCTCGTCTTCCTGGGCTCCTAGGGCTCCCTCTCGTCCCTGAGGTGGTGGGACGGACCACGGCTGAACAATGCCGTCAACCCTCAAGGTCGAGTCATAGCAGCCCACACCGTAACAGTCCTAGGCCCGTTTCTCATAGCTCGCGAGATATCGCGACAAATTCAACGTTATCTTTCATCACAAGTACCTCAAGACGTGGTCTAGCTCTAAAGTATTCTGTACTTGAATGGCTGTCACGCCTGTGTAATATACCATGAATCCTCTGGGGAAATCATTTCGGAGAGATACGAGCGGCTAGCGCTGATCGAGACACGGGTCTGGGCCGATCATGTTCCCCTTCAGCGGTCAACCTGAAGCTTTGCACTGCACATTATCCGTGCCAATACCTGCTGGACATGCGCCCTTCTAGCTCGAAAGCATGCACAGGGAGACCCTCGCCAAGACCGCACGCGGTCATCCGACCCCATGCTCTCTTTAAGTATCGTTTGCGTAGCGGGGACCTACCTTCTGCCCTACCTCATGGAAAGAAGATTTGCGCAACTTCTTATACGAAGAAACGTTAGAAGCCCCAATCAATGACCCTGTCCTAGCCTCGTCTTTCGGAACTTGATACGAGTAATTCAGAGCTAGGGACAGATACAGCGCCGACGTATGCAGAGTACAGCATGAGAGGCAATAGTGCCTCGGACGGGCAGAACTTAAATGGCCAACTAACAATTCTACACTTGATGAGGGGACGATGAAAAGCTAGCAGGATTACAGCCTGGGTCCTTCCGAGAAAGAGAAGACACAGAGAAAGTGAGAGGGAAAAATGGCGCAATGGCACGACTCGGTCCGGCATGCGCAATATCGCTAGAAACATTCCTCGAGACTTGAAAGTTGGAAACTGGTCTTTCATGCCCGGCCCAGATTTCTCCGCCCCGAATGGGATCATCGTTCAACTCGTGGGGTAGGTGACATGGACATTATGACTGTTCCTTCAAAGGAGAACAGGGAAGGAAAAAAAAAACCAGCTGAACTTCCCCCTGACAGCGGTGTAATAGGGAAGCACTGTTGTAGTCGGATGTAGGTGGCGGTTAATGCCATGCTCTCTCTTGCCTTCCGGTGGGTGAATTGTTACAGCCGCAAAGCCTTTCTGTCACTGTTACTGCATTCCAAGGCATTTTGCTCAGAATACTACACTCTGCGATTCTTGTAGGTTGATGTGTAGTCGAAAACCGGGGGCGCTCAAGGTTGCGGACTCTCTTACAGGTTGCAGAGCCGCGAAGACTCGTCAGCTCAGATCACGCGGGGGGGCAATAGAACAGCTCTAATATGGTCCATTCATGCAGTGTCAAAGCGATGAGGTTTCATTGAACAAGTGTCAAGTTGAGTGACAAAAGTTTCCAGGTGGGGGTGGCGTGCGAACTGTCTATTTCCGTTTCTTGGGTCAGCTTCATGCTATAACACGGCATCTTAATACGTGCAATCCCAGTGGAGGGCTTTTCTTTGGTCTATCTAGTTGTTCGTTCACGTCCACGTTCCACCTCAAAGTGAGATAGCAGTAGGACGATTTCGCTATGCGGTTTGGTATTCTCGTGTACATGGTCATCAATAGTAAAAAAGAAAACTTGCATCAGAAAGGCAGACGAGGTTCCCGCCCTCATTTCTTCAGAAACTTCCCGAGCTGGTCGTCGAATATAGCTTTGCGTCGTAATCGCGTTTACCCGCACCCGCATCTCTATCCCTGGGCGCAGCATCTCTCCTCCCGCCACCCCCGCGTGGCGTCGAATCCCGCCGTTCGTCGTACACGATATTCACTTCAGTCGTGCGCATGATCCCGTCGTACGTCATAATCTCTTCCTCGCTCGTCGTGGGCGAGTGACCCCGGATCTCGGACCGACCCTTCATGCTCTTGAGCTGAAACGCGTCGGCGGCGTTGCGCGCGGTATTCGAGCGGCCTCTGTTTCCCGTCGTGGCCGTCGCCGTCGCCACCGTGTTACGGGACTTCTTGGTCGGGTCGCCGCTGCGGCCGTAGCCGCCCCCGTAGCGGCCGTTGGAGGAGCTCTTGAGGGAGGCGAAGAACTTGGGGAACCAGCGGAGGAAGAGGCCGCGCAGCGCGGGAGCAGAGGCTGTGATGATGGCTAGGTTCGTCTCAACGGCCGAGTAGGTGAAGCGGATGTCGTAGGTCGGGTCTTGCTGGTTGATGTGGTAGGATATCTCGATGAGCCATGCGAGGCGGAGGACGCTGACGGCGGTGACACTACGAGATAGGTAGGGGATGTTAGAAAAGGGGGTTATACCCAAAAGTTGATATGTCATGATTTTTGTGACTTACACAGCTCCGAGGCCAAAGACTGCAAGGAGCGCCATCTTGACGCGGAGAGGCATCTTGAGCCCGAGAAAGATCCAAAAGGGTAAGGCCAGGGCCAGCACGTCCGTGAAGATTGTGAGGGAGGCGGTGCTGACGTAGAAGGCGGCCATGTCGATACACTTGCCCTCCGTCGGCGGGTTCCGGCCCGCCTTTTCCCAAAAGTAGCTGATGGGCTGGCACTGGAAGATGATTGTCGTGAAGATGGCGATGCCGAGAGCAATGTTGAAGACGTTGAGCGCGTGGATGGCGTATCGGACCGACCGCTTCTGGCCGCTGAGCCGCAACAGGAACATGAGCACCGACGTCTTGACGATGGCCAGGATCGGATTGTACAGCAGCTGGATGATGTAGTTCCAGAGGCTCCCGAGGCGGCTGTCGGCTTCGAGAGGTATGTCGCTGACGTGGATGCCGATGAATCCTAATCGCATGCCCATATACGATGCTGCCGTCTCGGCCATGGAATCTGCCTAGAAGGTTTAATGTGAGTAACTACCTGAAAAGACAAGATTCTCGAGTCTTCAGCCTTACCATGGCAAAGCATATCAACCCATCGTCTGGACAGGCAAAGGTTAGCCATGATTTATTGAGAGAAGTTTATCGACTCAGATCGAGGTCTTGGATTTAACTGACCCCAGCCAAACTGTTTGGTTGTGACTCGACTATACACCCGTAGGCCTACCACGAGAAAAGCAATGGTCGGAAAGAAGAACAGCACAAAGAAACCGGTATGTTGCAGAGAGGAGTAAGGGTACGGGTAGTCGTCGGTGATGGGGGGCAGCGCTGCAGTGGTGCTACTCGTGTCTCTCAACTGAGCCGCGTGGACCAGCGCCGCTACGGCCTGCGACATGTTGGATTCTCTCGATCTTCGTCAGATTGAGAGTCCTGCCAAGAGTGTATACCAGTCTTTATTCCAAGCTCAAGAGAGCCTTGGGCAACAAACTGGGGTCAGATATTTGATGCGAGGGCGTGGAAAACGGTTCAAAAAGACAGGACGGGGATAGAGGTAGATTCTATATGCCATTGCCCTCCTGGGGTTAGAATGCAGCTTGCTTGGAAAGGAAACGACTTTTTCTTCACACTCTTCTTCCACGTCTTGGAGTGGAAGACGTACAACTCAGGTAGGGGTTGCCACACAGGTCAAGAAAGAGACAACAGAACTTGGCCAAAAAGATGTAATGAGAAAGGCAAGCCTCTCTCTTCCCAGACTTGCAGCAAGACAGGGCCGGGATACAGGAGAAGAAACGGAATAGCGGCAGGCAGGCAGGGCCAGTCGAGGAGGGCCTCTCGGTGGCCTATGCCCTCTGTAGTCTGAACAGCTTTACACGAAATGTGGCGGCCCTGGCTTTCCAAAACAGATCCTGTTACCAGTCATGTGGGTGTGGCCATGGGAAGAGGAACTGGAGCTGCTCTTCGAGGAGAAGGACAGAGGTGCTGGCAAATCCCTACACCAGGATTCTTTTTTCCTCGCACACCCCCTTGGCACCTGCTCCTGCTGCTTTACATCTGGCAAGGATGTCTTTTTCGTCGGCTAAGAGTTCGATCGATATCCTTGTGTTGGGCAGTCAAATTTTGAACGATGTCGGTCCAGCCCCCAAGCAGCTGTTGAGGTGGTCGAGGAAGAACCCAGATATTTGGGACTTTCTTCACAGTTCCACAGCATCCCGCAGTCGATCTATGTGAGAAAATGTCGCTGCTTGGGAGCCCAAAACAGTATATTTGCTTCTCCTGAATGAGAGACGGCGCCATGACTAGCAACCGTTGAGACTACCGAGCGTCAGTGGCGTACCAAGAAAGCAACCTTCCCGTTCATTACACTCCTTCCATAGTCTTCTTTGACAGCTTCTGGACGTTGCAAAATGGTCTCATGTCTGTGAGTTCCCGTCAACAAGCTTACTTGGCAAAGATGGGAAGAGGGGGATCGGGCTGTACGGATAGACTAGAGTCTGTCCAGCGACTCTAGCCTGGAGTAGGAAGAGAGGGGCGGAGGTGTCCACCCCGTCATGTGCCTAACGAGGAAAGGAACCCGAAGCTGCTCGCATTTGCCCCCTCCTATCGCTCCATGGCGAGAAGAAATA